GATTAAAAAGGACCTAAAAGCGTATGTTAACTCCAACACAGTGATTGTAGGAGACTTTAATACCCTACTACCATCAGTAGATAGGTCATCCAAACAAAAAAATCAATAAAGAAGTCCTAGATCTAATGGCTGGAGGTGTGGCTCAAGCAGTAAAGCGCCTGCCTAGCAAGTGTTAAGCCCTGAGTTCAAACCTCAGTACCACCAAAAGCAAACAAGGAAACCAAGAAGTCCTAGATCTAAAACATACCATAGATCAAATGGACCTGGTTGATATCTACAGAACATTTCATCCAACTTCTACACAATATACATTTTTCTCAGTAGCCCAGGGAACCTTCTCCAAAATAGATCATATCCTAAGGCACAAAGCAAGCCTCAGCAAATATAAGAAAATAGGAATTTTAGCATGCATTCTATCTGATCACAGTGCATTAAAACTAGAACTCAAGAAAAATACAAAAAACATGCAAACACCTGGAAACTGAATAACTTATTGCTTAATGAACAGTGGGTCATTGATGAAATAAAAGAGGAAATTAAAAGGTTCCTGGAAGTCAGTGAAAATGAAAACACAACCTACTGGAACCTATGGGACACAGCAAAGACAGTCCTGAGAGGAAAATTTATAGCCATGAGTGCATATATTAAAAAGACTGAAAGATCCCAAATCAATGACCTGATGCTACATCTCAAACTCCTAGAAAACCAAGAACAAGCAAAGCCCAAAACACATAGTAGGAGAGAAATAATAAAAATAAGAGCTGAAATCGATGAAACAGAAGTGAAAAAACCATATGAGGAATTAATGAAACAACAAGTTGGTTCTTTGAAAACATAAACAAGATCGACAGACCCCTGGCAAACCTGACTAAAGTGAGAAGAGAAAAAACCTAAATTAGTAGAATCAGGAATGTAAAAGGGGAGATAACAACAAACACCATCGAAGTCCAGGAAATCATCAGAGACTACTTTGAGAACCTATATTCAAATAAATTTGAAAATCTTAAAGAAATGGACAGATTTCTAGATACATATGATCATCCAAAACTGAACCAAGAGGGTATTAATCACCTGAATATTTCTATAACACAAAATGAGATTGAAGCAGCAATCAAGAGTCTCCCCAAAAAGAAAAGTCCAGGACCTGATGGATTCTCTGCTGAATTCTATCACACCTTTAAAGAAGAACTCATGCCAACCCTCCTTAAACTGTTCCACGAAATAGAAAGGGAAGGAAAACTGCTGAACACATTTTATGAAGCCAGTATTACACTCATCCCAAAACCAGGTAAAGACACCTCCAAAAAGGAGAACTATGGGCCAATCTCCTTAATGAACATCGATGCAAAAATCCTCAGTAAAATAATGGTAAACTGAATTCAACAACACATCAAAAAGATCATTCGCCACGACCAAGTAGGCTTCATCCCAGGAATGCAGAGGTGGTTCAACATATGCAAAACAATAAATGAGTAAAATTCTATTGTGTACAAATACCACATTTTCTTAATCTATTCATCAGTAGTGGTGCATCTTTGCTGTTCACATAACTTGGCTATAGGATCATGTCGTCTGCAAATAGGGATATTTTGACAGTTTCTTTACCTATTTGTATTCCTTTTATTTCTTCTTCTTGCCTGATTTTTCTGGCTAGGAATTCCAGGACTATGTTTAATAGCAGTTGGGATAGTGGGCACCCTTGTCTCATTCCTGATTTTAGGGGAAATGGTTTCATTTTTTCTCCGTTAATTATGATGTTGGCTGTAGGTTTGTCATAAATAGTCTTTACAATGTTGAGGTACTTTCCTTCTAGTCCTAGTTTTCTTGGAGCTTTTATCATGAAGTGGTGTTGGATCTTATCAAAGGCTTTTTCTGTATTTATTGAGATGATCAACTCATTTTTATCTTTGCTTCTATTAATGTGCTGTAGTAGATTTATAGATTTGTGTATGTTGAACCACCCCACATCCCCTAGATGAAGTCAACTTGGTTGTGGTGAATGATGTTTCTGATATGTTACTGGATTTGATTTGCCATTATTTTATTGAGGATTTTTGCACCGATGTTCATTCAGGAGATTGATGTACAGTTCTCCTTTTTGGAGGTGTCTTTGTCTGGTTTTTGGGATAAGTGTAATACTGACTTCTTGCACCGATGTTCATTCAGGAGATTGATGTACAGTTCTCCTTTTTGGAGGTGTCTTTGTCTGGTTTTGGGATAAGTGTAATACTGACTTCATAAAATGAGTTAGGCATTATTCCTTCCCTTTCTATTTCGTGGAAGAGTTTGAGGAGAGTTGGTATGAGTTCTTCTTTAAAGGTCAGATAGAATTCAGCAGAGAATCCATCAGGTCCCGGACTTTTCTTTTTTGGGAGACTCTTTATTGCTGCTTCAATTTCATTTTGTGTTATAGATCTACTGAGGTGATTAATAGCTTCGTGGTTCAATTTTGGAATATCATAAGTATCTAGAAATTTGTCCATTTCTTCAAGATTTTCCAATTTATTAGAATATATGTTCTCAAAGTAGTCTTTGATGATTTCTTGGATTTCTGTGGTGTTTGTTTTATCTTCCCTTTTGCATTTCTGATTTTACTGATGTGTTCATTTTTATATTTTGCTAATTGAGGTGTTTTTCTTGGATTTCTGTGGTGTTTGTTTTATCTACCCTTTTGCATTTCTGATTTTACTGATGTGTTTATTTTTATATTTTGCTAATTGAGGTGTTTTTTTTTTTTGGAGGCATTGTTTTACTTTTCATTTAATGTTATGTTTAAGTCATCTTATTCAGTTTTTTTTTACTATAGGTAAAATTATTATTTTATTTCCACTTACTCTGCTTCATACAATTTTACTGCTTCTGAGTGTTAATTTTTAGCATGCTGTACTTTTATCCCATTTTTAAAAAAGTGAACCACTGTGAAAGTCACTTTAATTAACACTGTGCTACTTTTTCTTTTTTCTACATCAACTACTTATAAGCTTTGACAAGGGGTTTTGACAAATGATTAGATTATATATTTATTATAAATCTGTATATCTGATTGCTAAAATGTAGATGAGATTTATTTTGAAATAGTTATTTTTGATACGGTGGATGATGGGAAGCACAACATATTATTTTAGGTATAATAATTTGCTAGTATATAGATGGTAATTTCTTTGTCCAGTAAGCCATTTTACATTGTAATTTTTAACTGCTTACATATTCTTTTAGAAGCATCTATAAGGCAACATGTAAGTATAATAAAATGTTTAAAAAAATTACCGAATAATATCCCAAAGTCCTTTGGAAGTCAGCATAAAACCAGCAGGGGATCTCCTCTACCCCCAGTTTCATTTGAATACTGTTAATAATAGTATCTGTGATTATACTGTTGGGACTTGATGGAAGTTCTTCATAACTCTAGAAATAGTTCGGCTTCAGACATTGTTTTAATAATTGTATTTTATATTAAGTCACGTAATTGGAAATTTTAGAATCTTTTAACTACAGGGCCTTTGTGAGGAAACATGAAATGTCAGAATTATTACAGTGTTTCCCTACAGTGTTGTGTAGAGTAGGTCTTCAAAAATAATGATTTTGAAATGCCTTAAGTTTAAATTTATGATTTTAAGTGATAATTTTAGCATTAAGAATGTAACTTTTTTGGTTTTCTTCTCAATTTTGTATTTCTTGCCAATTTGTTTATAGCAGGACCCATAGAAACTATTAACTTTGTCATTTTCACTTTTCTTGATATTAGTTAGACAGGTAGGTCCTTTCAGTGCAGTTTTGTCTGAAAATCTGAATAATGTCTTCCTTCCAAATGTTATTTTATTCAATGAAAAATGACTCCTTGAAAGCTAAAGAATGATTTGACTTGGACAGTTTGAGAAAGGTCAGGGGCATAATAGATTTTTAAAAACTATTTGGAAGTAGGTTAATACTGCAGTCTGTCTGTCTGTCTCACTCCTGGGGATTGAACCTAGGGCTGCCTGCATGTTAGGGAAGCTATACCCATTATACTCTTTTAAAGTAAATGATCATTGTTTTCTACTCATTAAATAATTGCATTTTGTTTTGGAAAGTAGTTATGAAGGACTGAACATTTAATATTAATTCTACAGATTAATGAAGTCATTGTATTATAAACATAAGTCCCACAAATAAAAAATAATTGCTAAAGATAAATGTTGGAGTTAAGCTGCTTTTGCATGTTATTGGAAAACAATAACTCTTTTTTCCGTATTCCTGTGTATTAGTCTTTCTATTGTAATGTTATCTTCTTTTATATTGGACATAATTAGACTGGGAATATCATCAGTTCTCTGTAACGCTTCATGTAAAATATGATGATGTGTTTCTTTCTAGTGAGATAAAATTCATTGTGCAGGAATTTCAGGGATTGCTTACAAAATTTTTTAGTGTGATCTACTTGGTTTAAATTTAAACAAATGGACAATATATATTTCATGTACCAAATTTTCTAGAGCTTAAAACCTGAAGTATACAATTATTTTTACAAAAGAAAGAAACAAGTAACATTTTAAAGATATTTTTCAATATCATTTCTGTGTGTGCCCAAGGCAAGGTGAAGTTGAAATATATTTTTAAGATTGTTCTTGTTGCTAATGTTCTTTTAGTCAGATTATATCAACACTACTTTATTTAATATGTAATTTAGAATGTGGAAAATGCACTCAGGTGTTTATATTTATGGAGAAATATGTACATTTCAGCACATAATAAAACTTTATGAAGATCTTGTATAGAAATACAATGGGATACGAAAACAGTTCAAAAAGCTGTGAACTTTTAGGTATATTACATATTTAAATCTTTTATGTTTGATTTTGTTAATGTCAAATTGAATAAAATAAAATGCTGGTTGTTTGGGAGTAGAAAAAGAGTGGAACATAATTGTTGTGCAGCTGCTGTTAAGGAAATTGAAACTGATGCATTTCATCCGGTGCTTATTAAAACTTTGTGAACATTTGGATTGCTTCTTTTTCTTTCAGATATTTGGCTGCCAGGCGGGACTGACATCTTTGGATTGTAGCGGGTCTTACTGCTTATCTGTCCCGATTATACCCTCTTTCAGCACTGCTCTTTACGGGAAACTTCTGAAACTCCCCACTTGCTGGTAAGTATTACATGTTAAAATATGTTTTATGTTAATTTTAATTTCATGTAGAAAAAATCCAAAAGTATTTGTGTTATGCCCATATGTCAATTTTTTGCAAAAAATAGGAAAAATTCTGAAGGTATATTCTACTGAGACTAAAAAAATCTTTTTAATGTCTGAAATGTTAGTTCACAGTATCTGTTGTGATAGTAATAACTGTTGATGGGGTAATAACTGGTAATTCATGTTGCAGGTATAGCAAAATGTTCCTTCAGATAGTAACAGAAAATATAAAGATAGTAACCCTCTCTACTTTTTGATTTTCTGAAACACTATACAGATTTAAAAGAGTTACAGTTAATATCAAGGCCAAAGTATTTGTCTCTTAAATAATTTTTATGTATTCATAGTGACTGAGTAAAGTATACCCATTACATAGTTATTTAGAATAATTTTGATAATTTTGGTAGTTACATATTGGAAGAAATAGATTTTTAGGCCTTAATCATTTTCATTCAGGATTAGTTGCTTTATTTGGAATTCATATTTTCTTAAATTCAAAGTGATTTATAGAAAGGCAATATTTATATGTTTTTAGTTTAAAGTAATGTTTTTTATATAGTAACAAAATAATTAAGTCAATCAATAGTGTTTAAATATGTGATTTTCTATTGAAATATTTTTCTATTTTAAAATATGAAATATTTCAATTATTTGTAGTGTATCTTGTTTTATTATCCTAATTAGTAAACTTAATTTTACCAAGTTTTCATTAATATTTTATTAAAAGTAGCATAAATTCCAGAAAGTATATTTTTTATCCAAACCCCTTCATTTCCTTTAATAATGTGTAACTTATAAAATGAATTTAGTAAGGCAAATGCTCACATTTCTATAAAAATTGCCAATTGGTTCAGAAAATTATAAAAAAATTATAGCCATCATAAAGTCTTAGAATGAATTGTCCTAAAGTTATCCATAATTTTTCTCAACAAATTTCATTTCATTATTATTCGTTTGTATTTATTATGTTATAGAAAGACAGATTTTATTTGCATATACATAACATGTTGTATTTGAGCTAAGTTTTATATTCCATTCTGTTCTACCATAGGACTTACCATAGTTGATTTGTCGGTGTTCATTTTAGTTATTATCTCTGGGAACTGTTGTCTCAGATATTCTGCTTTATTTATTTTTTTGTAAGACAAATAATTTTATTGTAAACAGTGCAGCTTACTTATAGAAAGTTCTGATAGAAAATTCCTAACATGTTTAAAAAGATAAAAATTGTCAAAAAATTGAATACTTAAATAAGTAGGGTTTATTTTAAAGATATGATAGGTTGCTGTAAGTGCCAAATTGATGTAAAATGTTTATTGACATCGACATCTAAGAGAAAATATTGTAATTGAACGTTAAAAGCATGAGGTTATAGAATGATGATATTTATTTATTTGGATGTGTTTTGTATTTTTTATAGATAAAACTACTTTAACATTATTCCAAAGATAATTTAGATGCCTTATAGATATATTTATTTTGAAATGGTTTCTTTAAATTATTTTTCTTAATATAAAAGTAAATTATCTTAAATGTAGTTCATTTATTTTTAACAAGTCTAACTTGAAAATAATAAATACAAAATTCAAGAAATTGAGATTCTGCTTAGCTACTTGCTGTTGGAAGTTTATAAAATAGTAGATAAAATATATAGTACGTGAATTGAATCAAAATTCATACAAAATCTGGGAATCTTATTTAAACTCAGTGAACATTTTTGTAGTAGAACATCCTGACTGTGTCATTATATGTCAATTCTGTTCCCTCATGATTTTTTGTTTCCCAGATTATACGAACTATTCTATTTGATTTGAAAAATTCACATAACAGAGTTCCTTAAAACCACATGTGTTTCATAAGTATATACATTTCATTTATTAAAAAATACATATTTCAGAGTTCCTTAAAGCCACATATATGTTATATATATATATATATATTTCATTTAATAAAAAATTCGCATTTCAGAGTCCCTTAAAGCCACATATATGTGTTATGTATGTATTTCATTTAATAACAAAGAACATTTTTAATACAGGGTTCAGCTTTTGAAGCAGACATTTTAGAGTGCATTATTAAAACTTTTTTAGTGTGTTTTGGGTTAGTAATGAGGATATAAACGTTTATGTAAATGAGCAAAACATTTTATGCTTCTTGTTTAAAATTAGAGTATTGTATTATTTGCACATTGATAATTTATTCATTCTTGCCCCAGAATTTTAAGTCTGTTACTGAAGTTTGTGTCAACATTTTTTTATTCCTTTGCTGTTTTCTTTTTTTAAATTGTTGGAGTGGGTTGGAGTACATTGTGGCATTTACAAAATTTCCTACAATATATCGTACATGTGTTCACTCCCTGCACCATCTCCTTTATGCCCCACTCCCACATTTGGGCTATAATATGTATATACATGGAAGTGCAACAAGGAGACTCCCTGTATAGCTATCTTAAACAAGCAAAGGTGTTTTTTTTTTTCTTTTCCAAAATCAGAGAATAGGAGGGCAGAACAGATCTGCCTGGGTGGGGGGTTGAGGGGAGGTGTTGGTACGATTGGGGGAGGTGAAGGTGGGGGAAGGGGTGTGGGAGAGTGAATATGGTGCAAATACTGTGTACACATAAATGTAAATGGAAAAAGTGATATCTGTTGAAACTATTCCAGCTTCAGTTATGTTAGTGGATATATAATGCCATTTTTAAGTATGTTTTCACTACCCATAATATGATAGGTGCTGGGCTATCTGTTGGGATTGGGGAAAGAGTACTGTAGAATGCAAAAAGGATAAGAGGTATTGCTTGGCCATTGAAAATTAGTGAAATGAAGACACATGTGAAAATAGTTGCCATTGCATTTAGAAAATCACGATTAAGTAGTGTGTCTGGTGTATTTAAAGAAAGGAGAAAATTTCCTTGAGTCCTCAGGGATACCTTAATGGAGGTGGTCATGTTAGGTTTGGGCTTTAATGGCTGAAGTTGATATCAGTATATCACAAGATACAGTGGGGGAAAAGTTGGAAAATTTCTTGAGCCTAAACTTATTCATTGAATAAGGATGTCAATACTGTTTTTTTGTCTTTCATGGAAAGATTGTAGCATGTGCAGGTGGTATTCATTGTGATAATTCCAGGTAGCCTTACATTGTATATTAGTTAGATCACCCCCCCCACCGCTATCTTTTCTCCCATCCCCTCCCCACCCCATTTAAAGTAATTGCAAGAGTTTTCATTGTTTTATTTCAAATATGTATATGAAGTCTATCAACCATATTCCCTCACCTTCATCTCATCCATTGACTCTTCCCCTCTATACTTTTTAATGAGTATTTAAAAGTAGTTAAACTAGTTCAATAAATAATTAATCCCATTTCTTACTGATCAAATTTGTTACACTCCAACTATAATGCAGTTTCAAATTCACTTAATTATGTGCTTTAAATGATTTTATTTATTGAGATATATGCAACATGTTTTGGAGGTTAGGACTGTAGAAATACTACTTTGGCTTAGAAAGTCATGGAAAACATGGAAGAGTGAACTTTTAGGTAGATTATTAAAGCATAGGTAGGATCTGAAAAGAGAATACTGTACCTTTATTTTTCTTTTAGTGCTGGGATAGAACCCAGGGTTTTGTACACGCTAGGCATGTGCTCTGTTACTGAGCTATATTCCCAGAAATTATGTATATTTTAATACTAGCTTGATTTAAGTTTTATAACACCTTGTGAGGTAGGGTGATATTTCTTCCTACAAAACTAAAGTTCAGAGATACTAAAAAATTTGTTTAGGGTCACAGTGTAGCTAGATGAGGATTTTCATGGGACTATTATCTTATTGCAAAGTCTTTGATTATTTATTTATTTTTGTGGTACGGAGGCTTGAACTCAGGGCCTTCACCTCGAGCCACTCCATCAGCCCAATTTTTTTTGTGATACGGTTTTTCAAGATAGAGTCTCATGAACTGTTTGTCCGGGCTGGCTTCAAACTGCGATCCTCCTGATCTCTGCCTCCTGTGTAGCTAGGATTTACAGGCATGAGCCACAGGAGCCCAGCTAAAGGTGTGAAAGCCTGTAGACATACATTGTCTTTACTTCACCAACTTTTAATGCTTAGTGTGCTTCTTGCCTTACAGTAACAATGAATTTCTGTGGATTTAGAGGCTAGTTATGATATTATAGTTTATAAGTATCATAATTAATAAATCTGAACTCTGCTAGTATCAGTTAATAGTGTATAGATACTATGTTACCCATCTCATAGAAGTATGGCTGTTAGATTTAGGTGGAATCTTAGGCACTGACTCAGTTCCTTTTTTTTTTTGTTTATTCATTTATTCATATGTGCATATTTTGTTTGGGCCATTTCTCCCCCCTGCCCCAAACCCTTACTTCTCCCTCCCCACCCCCCTCACCTCCAGGCAGGAGCTGTTCTGCCCTTTTCTCCCATTTTGTTGAAGAGTAGACATAAGCAATATAATAAAGAATTAGTGTCTTTTCTAGTTGAGATAAGGATAGCTATACAGAGAGATTCCTAGCATTGCTTCCATGCACAAGTGTATTACAACCCGAATCGATTCATCTGTACCAGACCTCTTCACTAATTCCTGCTCACCTTCCCATATTGACCTCTGTCGTTTTAAGGTTACTGTATCAGCTCTTCTGCAGTGGGGACATTAAACACTTTCAAGTTTTGGGTTTCCTGCCTATCCCCCTTCCTCCCGTATGTGCTCTCCCCTTAGCGTGTGACCCAAGTCCAACAATCAGTTTCTGAGTCTTTATGTCACATTTTTTTTTGGGTGGGGTTTAACTCAGGTCCTTTACACTTGCTAGGCAGGCTACTCCTTGAGCCACTCGCCAGCCCTGTGTCACACTTTTTCTTTATTGTCATCTAGTCACTGCTTGAACAGTTTATTCAGAAAAATGTTAGCTACTTCGTAAGGCAGTCAGATGTTGGGCAGCTCT